CCCAGAGTTCAAGCCCCAAGACTAACCAAAAATAAAAATAAAAAAGGTACAGGGTTCCTTCTTTCCTTCTTTCTTTTCTCCCTTTCTTCCTCCCTCCCTCCCTTCCTTCCTTCCTCTTTCTTCCTCCCTCCTTCCCCTTCTCTCTCTTTCCTTCCTTCTTTCCTTCCTTCCCTCCTTCCTTCCTTCCTTCCTTTTTCCCTCCCCCCTCTCTCTCTCTTTCTTTCTTTCTCTCTCTCACTTTCTTTCTTTCTTTCATCATTAGTGGAGCTTGAACTCAGGGCCCGGCACTCTCTCTTTTTTTTATTTCCTCAAGGCAGGTGACCCACCACTGAGCCATAGCTCCATTTGGAAATCAGAGTCTCACAGATTTTCCTTCCACAGGTTGGCCTCAAACCACAATCTCAGATCTCAGACTTCAGAGTAGTTAGGATTATAGGCATGAGCCACTGGCACCCAACTAGAGTACAGGGTTTTTTGTTTTGTTTTGTTTTGCCAGTCGTGGGGCTCAAACTCAGGGCTGAGCACTGTCCATGAATTTTTTTTTCTCAAAGGTAGCACTCTACCACTTGAGACACAATGCCACTCTCTGGCTTTTTCTCTTTATGTGGTACTGAAGAATTGAACCCAGGGCTTCATGCATGCTAGGCAAGCACTACCACTAAGTCACATTCCCAGCCTGGTACAGGGTTTCTGATGACAAAATGTTCTACAATTACCAGTGGTAATGACCACACATACCTTTAAATGTAGTGGGAAAAGTCATTGAGTTATACAGGTTAAGTGAGATACTTACGTGTATGAATGAATTACATCTCAAGGAACTGGTTCTTTTATAACAAGGAAGGAAGAGAGAGAGAGAGAGACGAACCTACTGAGAAAATCACTGGATTAAAGAAATCCAATTTTAGGATCTTCTTGACTTTTTCCACAAAGATGTCCTGTGGGTTGTTGAGAGAATTAATGTTCACCCCAAATGATGTCCCCGTGATCACGTCTATGCTGTAGGCTCCAAAGATGCTGAAGTAGAGAAAGACACAGGAAAATTAAAACTTGCATTTTTCTCCCCCCTCTTTCTGATACATGGGCAGCAAAAAGTGGGAGCAAATTCCTGTGTCAGGACAAGAAAGTCACAAACTGTTCTCTGTCAAAATTGCCTGAGGGCTCATTGGAAGGGTCCAGTTTCCCTACCCATCCCCCTGCCTCTTCTCCAAGATCCACAACCCTGGTTATGGAAAATTGGGTGGATCAGCCTCACCTGGGAGCTCAAGGAACTCAGTCTCAGAAAACAGACTCCCCCACCCCACCAGGCAAATCACATAGTACAAATGCTATGTGGGATGATAATAGATTGTAGCAGATAGTGATGGATTGTAATAGACAATAGATTGGGGCTTGGGCAGGTCACTGGTGGAGTAATGATCTCCTTCCTTCCCTCTCCCTTCTGTCTGTCTGTCTGTTTGTCTGTCTGTCTGTCTGTCTGTCTGTCTGTCTGTCTGTCTGTCTCTCTCTCTCTCTGTGTCATTCTCTCATTGTCAATCGCTCTCTGTCCTAGAGCTGGATGCTGTACCTGAACTTCTTTTACTCAAGCCTTGAGCTCTACCACTTAAGCCATGGCTCCATTTCTGGCTTTTCTGATGATAGTTTATCGGAGATAAGAGTCTCACAGACTTTTCTGCCTGCGCTGGCATCGAACCACAACCTTCAGATCTCAGTCTCCTGAGTAGCCAGGATTACAGGTGTGAGCTACCAATGCTCAACAAGTACTCACTCTCTCAACACTACAGGTTTGCCTTTCTCTGCTTGTGGTCTCAGGTTTTTTACCAACCCATCAGAAAACTCACGGATGATGGGGAACATCTAGGCACAAAATAAGAGAAGTTAAAAGAGAAGACTTAAATCCCAGCAGCCCTTTGCCCAAAAGATGAAACACGACATCCCATTTATGAGAAACCAGGGACTGCAGGACATATGGACAGAACACCATTTCCAGGTGGTTCAGCCTTAGAGGATGTCCTCTTGGAAAAGGACTCTCATCTGACTGTTTGCTTATCCCCCTACTTATTTTGGAATTTTCCAGCACCACGTTCTCAGGCTTGATTACCTCCTTTAGTTTCACACTGCTGAAGGTGGGGGAAAGCAATGTTCTTATTCTCTTCCAGTCTTCATCCTCAGAGAAGGTGAGGGATTTGTTCATAAATCCCATTGGGCCAAAAACCTAGGCTCCAAAAAAAAAAACCCAGATTTTTTCCTCTCCGTCAGTTTGAAGACCTTGGACAGTTGTACAAAATTGGTGAATTGGCAGCATTTAAAGAACTATGTGAGCAGTCGGCCCTCTGTAAGAAACTCAACAAACATTTCACCCAACTGTCTAGGTCCATGTGAGGCCAAGACTTCAGATTCTAAATACGACTTTATTAATTCATCCACTTATTTACTAATTATCATATATTAATTATCTAATGTATTAATTATCTTATTTGTCATTATAAACAGAAGGGTTTTAATCCAACATCTTGACTCATGAGCACAATGTATCTTTTTTTTTTTTTTTCGGTCATGGGGCTTGAATTCTGGACCTGGCACTGTCCGTAAGCGCTTCAGCTCAAGGTTAGCTCTCTACCACTTGAGCCACAACACCACTTCTGGTTTTCTGGTGGTGAATTGGCCTCATGGACTTTCTTGCCCAGGCTGGCCTTGAACTGTGATCCTCAGGTCTCAGCCTCCTCAGTAGCTAGGACTACAGGCATGAGCCACTGGCACCCAGCAGGAGCACAAGGTAACTTCATCAATATCAGTCCATTCAACATTCTTCATCCCCTTTCCCCAGAGCTTATAATTATTTCATGATATATACGGGATGAAATATCTATTTTTTATAAATATTAAGATGTGTTTTAAAAGGGGGAGTTGGAGGAGATGCCTACCCGGCGGTTTGTGAAGGTAGAGTAGCATTCTTTCACCAGCACTGTTTTGATCATGTCTGGGTCTGTAATCACCAACACAGCCTTTCGACCATCGTACAACCTGTGCGTGGCAAACACAGCTGAGTGAAAAACCTAACCAGCCAGGCTCTGCACCTGGAGCCAGGACAAAGAAATCCAGACCATGATCACACCTCAAGCTCCTCAACACATGTCAATAATAGTCCCTCATGCAAACCTAGGGAGTTTGAAGACATAAGCCACAGTGGTCCACAAAATGAAGGCCAGTGTGGCTGAGGCACAGAGGAGATACCTAAAGACAATAAATACCACTTCCCTCATACTCTCCTCATTTATTTTAAGCTAAGACTTTTTCATAGAATTATGCACAATATCTTTTTCTCTACTTCGTTCTACTCACTTTAAAGAACTTGTGTAGGGCTGGGTGTTGGTGGCTCATGATTATAATCCTAGCTAATCAGGAAGCCGAGATCTAAAGAACATGGCTCAAAGCAGAAAAATCTATGACAGTCTTATCTCCAATTAACCACTAAAAAAAAGCCAGAAGTCCAGCTGTGGCTCAACTGGACAAGTGCTAGCTTTGAGTGAAAAATCTCACGGACAGTGACCAGGCCCTGAGCTCATGCTCCAGGACTGTCACAACATGTACATATACAAATATTGGTGACAGGTGAGATCTTCATAAGGAAAAGCCTCCACTAGAATTCATAATTCATCAGTGTGGCTCAAGAGGCTCAATTCATCAGTGTGGCTCAAGATTGTCTAATCTTCACCAATTTACCCCATGGAAGTTTCCAGATTACTTACCCCCAGAGTTTTCCATATTTTTTATAACATTCCTCATCAAAAACCATAACACCCTGGGAAGAGAAATAAAGGTAGCTATTACTTGTTTAAGACCTCATCCAAGTACATTCTCTCTGATCAAGTACTAGAACAAGTTTGTGCATACAGTATATCACTTCAATTTGCCTTTCATACAAGATTTGGCAGGGGTGGGGGTGGAGGGGGAGTGGGGAGCTGGGCTGGCTTCAAACTGCATTTCCCGGGTCCTTGGTTCTCTAGTAGCTAAGCTTGTAGATGTGAGCCACAGTGCCCAGCTGCTATGTCCAATTATTTTTCACCAGTACTGGGACTTGAACTCAGGGCCTAAGAACTTTTCCTGAGCTTTCTGCTCAAGCCTTGTACTCTACCACTTGGCCACAGCACCACTTCTGGCTTTTTTCTGTTTATGTGTTGCTGAGGAATCGAATCTAGGGCTAGGTTGCATGGTAGGCAAGTACTCTACCACTAAGCCACATTTCCAGCCCCCAGCGTGTCCAACCTTTTGTCTTTCATCTCCTCATGCAACTTGTTTCTTGTTTACAAATGAGGTCCCTGGAGGTGGGATGTTCAAGTCACCTCTTCTGGCATAGAAAATTAATGTAAGACTCCGGCAGA